GCGTAGAGATGTTTTCGAGCAGCCAAAATCATTGTTAAAACAGAAATTTAAATATTTCTCCGAACTTTAATTTTTCAAATATTTAACTCTTAACGTGCTTCGGTGTGTTTCAGTTGAGACTGCTTACCATTGGTTTCAAATTGTGTAATTTATATGCAAAGAAATAATTACCTGGTAACATAGACGCATAAAATACAAATGTATGTGGGTATGAAAATATTACCTAAGTAAAATACGTTTCGCGCGCTTTTCTTATTGTCAATTTTAGCTGTTTTTTTTATTACCTGTGATTATCCTATCTACGGCTTTAGGCTTAACGATGCGTTAAAACCACGCGCCAAAAATCATTTTAAAGGGAAATTTATTTTTATCTAAACATGTTTTTTAATAATAAAAAGGAAGTACCTGTGGTACACTAACATTCAGTTTTTCATTATCGGCATATGTCAATCTTGTCATATGTTGCAAATGTAAAGCAGTTGGACTTTGTAACATGTGAGACTGTACTTCAAATATCTTATTTTATTTTTTTTAAATATCTTATTTACCATGAAGTGGGTGAGACCGTTATATGGGGGCTATACCTAAAGAATTTTTCGCCACCGAAGCTAGAACCCATTATTACTTACAAAAACCAAAATTTGGACAAATCCGTGAAAAAATATGGCGGATATCATCATCGAATATTGGGAGGTACCGTTTTATGGCGGATATACCAAAACATAAACCGATATATCTGATTTTCAATGCCGACCATTCTAGACACAATACAAGTGTTATTTTTAATTGACTAATTTAAATAATTTTAAGGGTCTTTCTCTTTCTTTGCTTCGTTCAACTTTAAATTAACTTTGTTTCTTTTCAAATAAAATATACAAGGATTACCGCTTTTTGTAACATTTTACTAGGAACCCGTTTCCTAATTCGAAAAAGAGATCATAATATTGTGCAATCTCACACCTGACTTGATTTTTTTTTAATTTTTCGAATTAGGTTCCCTTGGAAACCGCGTATATACCTTACCCTCTTCGGCAATATTATTTGGGGATCATTTGGTCAGGATTTACCCTGTCTTTTACCCCGTGTTGGGGGTATTATGAGTTTGATTGGGCCAAAAATTATGTAACACCCCGAAATGTTGGTTTCCCAAATAGGAAAGTAATATGGATCTTTCTATATCGCTGTCCGTCCGTCTGCCCATGTTAATTTGTAATCACTCTACAGGTCGCAATTATGACCCGATCCTCACGAAATTGAAAATGGAGGTGGGGTTACGGTCAGAATAGAAGCCTATTGCATAATATTTAGGGGTTAAAATATACCAAAAACTTAAAAATTTCCAGATTTTGCAGTTGCTCTTTCAGGTCGCAATTATAGACCAATCGGATCGCGGAAGTTAGCATGGGGCTAGAGCTTAGGGCTGGACACAAGCCTTCAAATTTTGATGGTAATCAGGAAATATTTAGGGGGTGAAATAGACCATAACATTTGTGTTAAATAAAAATCAAATTTTCCATTAAACCGCGAATATTTTTAATCCCGCGAATCTTAAATAGACGAAGAGATCAATTCTGACCGTTACGTAGATACCGATAGTAAATATATCGGATATATATGTAGCGATATATTATACAATGTGTATATACAAAGAAAGAGGATGTTAGGTAGAATGCTTATATCTCAAGAATGGTTGGACCGATTTTGACAAATGTTATCAATTCAGAATGCCCTCTTAGCATAAAATCTAAAAAATCGTATAAAAAGATGCATATAATGATATAAATATTTTTTTTTTTTTATTTTTTCATATATTTAATCGCATGCGATTTTTTCAATTTAACTTATATTCAAGTGTATATTTTTCACCTTACAACACAGGTTGTGGTTATTACATACAGATTGCAATTATCGTCCGACCCTCGCGAATATTTTCATAAGGGTAGGGTTAGGCTCAGAAGGGCTAGGACTATTGTTTTTTAAAGATGTCCGCAGTATATTTAGGGGTTGAAATGGACCAACAGCTAAAAATGTTTAAGATTTTGCAGCCGTTATAAAGGTCACAAATAGAAACCAAAAGAAACGAAATCTCGCATGAAATTGTAGTTTAGGACAACGGGTAGAATGGACGACTACTTAAAAAAACACACCAACACTTCCATTCTACCGAAACGCTCAAAATAACTCACAAGGGAAATCCAAAATGCACAATTGGCGTACTTCTGGCTTTTTATGCTGATTTCGTCGACAAATATGGTCAAATATGGCAGACAAGCAAATCACATATAAGAGTCTAAATTTGAAGATAAAGAGGGGCGTCTGCTTTTGCGGATGATCGCAAAATATTTAGGGGTTCAAATGAACCAAAATCAGAAATCTTCCAAAATTGATTTGGACATAAGGAGGCTACAAAATGTCAATTTGGAAGAATGACTCCAAAATCCAAAACTAAAATCCATATACTTGATGTGTACCCTTTCTCCGAGTTCGCTGCAAATGTTCTTATAATTTTACTGTCCAATAGGCAGTCTGGGTTGGGGAAAATTTCAGGTGTTTTGTAGATCAAAACTGCAGAAAGAGTTTCGGCATCTAAATCCAAACTTTTTAAGGTCTTTATATAACATTGACCATATTCAAAGTAACTGCCATATTTTTTGAGCTATATTTCGCAACATTAAATGTAAAACTTTGAATGAGAGCTTTAGATTACTTCAAGAAAAAATGGTTATTTTTTAGGAGAATTTTGCCTAAAACTCACTTGGACACCGTAAATGTTGTGGAATCTATTTTCTTTTTAACAGACAAGGCATGGATAAATCAACTTAGCATATTATGCATAATTTGCTAGGGCCTTCCAAAATGGTATTTCTCACTTAAACACCAAGGCCTCCAACCGGCCGGGTCGAACTTTTATTACCCTCCATCATTTGGAAGGAACTTTAAAATTTTCAACACATTCTGTTAAAAAATGTCTCTAAAATTATTAAAATATCGAATATGGGACTATAAGAAAATATAGGCTTATTTAGCAAAATTTCTGGCAGAGAAGGCGATGCCTATTGTAAATACCAAATTTAATACAATTCCGGATGAAAATTGTTACAAAAATCATCAAAATTATATGGGGGCTACATGAAAATCTGGGTATATGTACATAAATTTCAATCAAAGAAGGTAATATCTTTTGGCGACGCTAAAATAATTCCGTTGAACAATGTCACTAGAATTATAAAAATACCGAATAACAGGATGTTCAATATTATGGGGGATATACGAAAACTTGTACCGGAAATTTCCTAACAGAAAAGAAAGCACATAAAATCCGCTGAAAATTGTGACTATAATCGTGAAAGTATCCCATATGGAGAGGTAAAGTTAAACTTGTGAATATCAGGAGGTAAGTTGTTTGGGCACCGTACCAAAACTTGGGTAGACAGTTATCTGCGAGAATGTTTTCTACATACTACAAACTGCCAAATTACAGCGTATTCGAAATCTGCCGGTACAGCTATGTGAGGGACCTAACAGAAACCCTCTTTTAATACTAAAAATCCTGCGGACATATCTTTCCGAATCTAGAGTGATTTCGAATGAACATGGCTTAATCGATCAAGAATACTTATACTTTGATATGCCTAGTATTTATATTTAGAGATGTTGCAAAGGGAATAACAAACTTCATATACCCTTCAAATTATGGTGTAGGGTGCAAAAAATCGGCGAGTGAATAAATCCAAATAGTACTAATGGTAATTGAAATAAATTCAACCCAACCACCCTCCGTTCTTATCCACCCAAGGTTTCCAAATCGAAATAAAATACATTGGAAAACAGTTTACAGCTATTAAAACATTCCAATGTAATGTGGCGTTTCCACTGCACTTGATTCGCTCCCTATTCGTTGTTTGACCCTTAACTATGAAAAAACTACTTAATTCTTCACACAAAATTTCCTGAGCGAACACTCATATTTTTACATTGTTCAAATCAAATCACTCTCAGAACAACGAAAAAATGTGTCCCATCCCTAACAAATGAGAGCATTTATCGAAAAAATAAATTATGACATTTAAAAATTGAAAATAGAAAAATTTAATGAAATTTTGATAATTTTTGGGAAGACTGAAAATTATGAATTAAAACTACAATGTTGAATAGCGTATGTACATTCAAACGAAAGTAAATTTTGTTTTCTCTCTCATCCGAGGTACGCATTTTGTCCACGAGTTGAAATTTCCACAGAAAACTGGAAACAAAATAGGCAATATTTTCAAAATGTTTGTATCGGCAGAAAAAAATGTTAAAAATGTCAACATTTACACAAAAAGTTGAAAACATGAATGAAAATTATAAAATTAATGATATAATAAATCTTTGGGAGAAAAAAAATCATTTCTTCTACTCATATTAGTGAGAATTTATTGTATTTTAGTATAAATTCCCATTAAAATCAACAAACAAAATTTTTGAAAAAATGAATTATTTTACTATGAATTACGAATCGTGCCGTGTGAACGGGTTAATTCGTGTACCTAATTCTGAGAGCGAACAACGTTGTTCGGTTTTCAATGGAAACATGCTATAAGGCTATTAAAAACCTTAATTTCTTGTAAGAATTTAGTATCGAAATCAAAGACAGCGGGTTTGCAGAATGTGGGAACCAAATATTTATCAGATATCATGGGTATTGAAGCAACCATCCAACTCCATGCCGAAATATAACTTTACCACAAAAGAGAAAATAGTAAAATAATAATTTAAAAAACAAATATTGTTGTAAAATATTTTTTATTAAAATTGTTTTTGCTTTTCAGAGTTGAACAAAAATGTGCAGTCTTCTTACATGCCTCTATGAGTAGTTAATGGCATTTGTTACAAAATTATTAAAATTGACAAATTTCAATAAGATCCCTAATGTCACACCGTGTAATGCTGCAAACCATTGAGAAAAAAATCGAAATTAGTACAATGCAAACGGACAGACAGACGTACCGACAGACATATTGAATATGAAAATTAAAAATTTGTATTTATTCTGATAAACATATCACTTGATCGCATAGTACCAATATTTCACAATCGATCGTTCGTTCGATTTAAATCTTTGTCCAAATTACTCTGATGCAAATTACTTCGGAAAGCTAATTGGGATTGAGTTTGACTTCAGCTACGGCCGCATTGAGGCGAGATTTCGATATGTACTTCTGACGCTGTTTCTCTTCGACGAATAGCTGAAAGTGACCTTCGCCGAATCCGAAATTTCGCAAATTCTTACGCATGGCCATGGGTATCAGTCTTAGACCTCTCACTGGGGGTGTTGGCGATGGTGGTGGTGAAGGTGTGGGAGTGAGTGTGGGTGTGGGCGATGGTATGGAGTTGGATGACGAGGATGGTTTGACGAGGGGTAGGCCTGCAGCTGCCATTTGTGGTGCTGATGGTGACGGAACAACACCAGTTGATACAACACAACGTTCATCACATCGCTTGTCCCCCGGACAGTTGGCATTTTTGCAGGCCTTCTCCTCAATGATACAGAAAAGCTGGATGAATTTCTGTACCACGAAAATGATGAAGAAGAAAATGATATTGGTGGCAAAGAGATGTTTTCGAGCTGCCAAAATCATGATGACCCCTCAGTGATCTCTCGATAGGGAAACAGTGAGACGATAATTCTAGATCGATGGATGTTCGAAGTGTTGGCACTGAAGTATTGACAAAACTACAACAGTGCGTAGATTGAGTTGGTGAAATGAGTTGCAACAGCTTGCGAATGAAACTGATTTTTTTCAGCCGCGAACAGAAATATTTATGTGAATTGTTCGGATTTACCTGTGCCTAACAAATTGTTGAGGATTTCTACCTGTTGGAAAAGGCAGACGAGTAAAAGTGGTGATTCGCGCCTAAATTGCTGTGTATTCCCTAATCCAAAGGATGAACTGTACTTTCTCTCCAGCTGCATCCCTTAGTGCAGGGTGTTTTTCAATTTATCCTCTTAGTGTTTGGGGCGACATCTGGTGATAGCATTTTCAAATGAAATGTATACGAGTGCCGAACCTTTTAACAAATCCATGCATTCCTTGTAAATGATGTTTGGTAAACATTTGTTTATGACCAGCCATCTTAAATACCCGGAAAATTGTTTTTGCCTGTTAGTCGCTCGGCGTCTCTCTTAGGAGTAGGTACAGAACTGGATTTAGTGTTTTCCACGGCATATTTTCACCAGATGAATTTTAAGTATTTCTGTATAATATTAAATTTATTTTTAATACATTTATTTTAGGACTACCATTTCCGTCAATAATATGGAAACATTTATGATGATCTCCGAACATTAGCCAGATCCAAGGAAATGTATAATTATTCAGGGAAAACCAATAATGTATTGCTCATCAAATATTTCAAGTATATTAATTGGGAATAGGCGAAATCTTATATTTTTCAAGAAAATTAGCCTTTTCATCGAAAATCTTAATTTTTGTCAGACGCTGCAAATTGAGTAGATGAAAAATTGAACAGATTTAAATTCAGTTCTGAATTGTTATTAAACAATTTTAAGTCTGTTTGCATTTGAGAGTAAAAAAATCCTATTCAACCTTTGCAAAAATACCAAAAAACATCCAATTTTTCTAAAAAAATATAGTATATATATTCTTGATCAGCGTAAACTTCTAAGACGATTTAGCCCTGTCCGTCTGTTGTATTCGCGCTACAGTCAAAGCGAATTAAGATAGGAAGCTAAAATTTTGCACAGATCTATCTTTCGTCTGGAGGCAGGTCAAGTTCGAAGAAGGGCTATATCGTATAGCCCCATAGCAGATCAAGTTCGAAGATGGACTATATCGGTCCACGATATCGTATAGCTCCCATATAACTGTACCCCCGATATTCGGCAATTTAATGATTTTATCCACATTTTTCAATGGAATTGTCTGAAATTCAACACAAGGAGTTCCTTGTGAGCACTTTACCACCTGAAAGAGAAAGAATTCCACAAAAGGACTTCTTTGCGAGTACTTTACTCACAGACATATATTTTTCTATATAGGTCCGTATATCCCCCCATACATGGGCCCCTTCCGTTATTAGGTATTTTAAAGATTTTAACAGAATTTTTAATGGATTTTATTATTTTGAAAATTTTCATAATTCGTTCCAAATGGTGGAGGGTATTCAAATTCGGCCCGGCCGAACGTAATACATTTTTTACTTGCTTTCATCTTAATTTAACCCATACTCTGTCATTTGAAAAACTTATGTCAGACGCAACAAAGTATATACATTCTTCATCAGTATAAAATTCTTAATCAATTTAGCGATGTCCGTCAGTCGGTTTTAATCACGCTATCTTTGGATCGAATTGAGACTAGGCTAAGTCGGTCTACCGATATTCGGTATTTTGATTTTTTGTTCAAAATGGCGGAGGGTACTTTTGCTTTTTTACTTTACTTGATAGGCCTTCCCGATCAAAAATCTTGGATTTCTTTTTAAAATATTTTGGCAAAATCGAGGAAACATCGTGAATTTTTTTAAACATTCTTTTCAAATCAAAATAGAGATATTTTTCAATTTCTTTCAAAGTATTCCGACTTTTTTTAATTCTCATGTCAACGTTTTCTGAGACATTTTTTCCGAATATATTTTTTTAGTCATGAATAGCGGATTATTAAAACTGTTTTCGACTTCGATTTGAATACCCTACAACATTATGTGTTGAGGTATTATAAGTTTGATTGGTTCAAAAATTATGTAACACCTCGAAATATTGTTCCCCGACATAGGAAACTATATGTGAATCTTTCTATCATGGCAAACTGAGTCGATATAGCTATGTATGTCCGTCCGTCCGCCTGTCCATATTAAGATGTAATCACGCTACAGGTCGCAATTATGGCTCAATCTTCACGAAACAAATGATCGCATAATATTTAGGGGTTGAATTGCACCAAAACCAGAAAAATTTCCTGATTTTGCAGTTTCTCTACAGGCATGGAGTTTGATATTAGGGCTGGGCAAAAGCCTAGTAATTTGGATGGTCATCAGACAATATTTAGCGGGTAAAATATACCATAACTTTTATGTAAGGAAGTGGGCAAATGTCCATTTAACCGCGAATATTTTTAATCCCAGCGAAGACAAAACACACTAACAGGTCACTTCTTACCATTATAGTGGACTGATTTTTACAATTTTCGCCAAATCGAAATGGTCCCATGCCAAAAAATATAAATTCTAAGAAACTCACGTAAAAATATGTCAATAAAAAGGTAAATATTTTTTGTTACATTTTTTCAATTTTTGTCATATTTTTATCGAATGCGATTTTTAAAAATTGACTTGCAATTTTGAATTGTAAATTTTGTAAAGATTTCTCACACTCTACAACACTATGTGTTCAGAGTATTATATACAGGTCACTATTATCACCCGATCCTCACGAAATTTTGCATATGAGTAGGGTTAGGGTCAAAACTGATGCCTATTGCTTTCAAAGATGTACTTTTAAGGGTTCAAATGGACCAACAAATTAAAATTTTCCTAGTATTGCAGCCGGTCTATAGGTGACAATTAAAAACAATGGACACGAAATTTTGCCTATCCGCACGACAGAGATCGTATATATAGGGCAAGTTCCCCCGGTCAAAAAACAAATGTAACATTTGTGCGGGGCTGAATGACATTATTTAACAAACGAAATCTGACAGAATGGATTTGCACATAAGAGGGCTTCCAACATATTATAGTGTTGTAGGTTATCACATGGTCGGCCCCGCACGGCTATAGCCTTTGCTTACTTGTTATAAACGCTAATGATGTCTTTCCGAACAAATATCGTGGTTGCTTTGAACATATTTTTGGGTGTATTATAAGTTTAATTGGGCTAAAAAAAATTTAACACCCTGGAATATTGTTTCTAGACCCATGATGATATATCAAGTTGAGTCAATCTAGCTATGTGTGTCCGTCCATGTTAATTTGTAAACAAAGGTTGCAAAAATGGTCCGATTATACGAAATTTTTCATAGAGTTTGGGTTTGAGTCACCATGGAATATTATTATTTTTGGAGATGATCGCAAAATATTAAGTGGTTGAAATGGGCAAAAAATTGCTAAAATCTGATAAAATGGGCAATAAATTGCAAACAAAATTTCACACGGTTAGAGTTTAAAACAGGATAGAAGCCTACTTTTTTGGATGGTCGTCGGATAATATTAAACGGATGAAATGGACCATAATTTTTATTTTTAAATCACTAGTACATAAAAAAGTGACACGTCTTATTGATACTGATGTTGCTGGCGTACATAGTCTGATATCGGAGATATTGTAAAAACTATACAGAAATATGTATGTTAATTTTTTTTTTTTTTTAATTCCCATTAATACGAAACTGGGGGTAAATATGGTACACCTGCCATAATATTTAGCATTGTCTCGTGGCATCACGTTTGAAAACATCTGAAGATTAAATTTGAAGTTAATACACTTTTATATTCCTAACAATCGAAAATTGGGGAAAAAGTTTTATAGTCGGAATGATATTTTAAGAAATAAAGGAGTGTATTTCAAGATCTTGGGTGATTCGTTTATTCCAGTCAATTTACTTATGGCGCCATCTATTTTCCAAACTCAAAACCACGAGCTATAATATAGCATGATACAAAATGTTCCAATGAAGTTTACATATTTCAATAAAAGTATTGCATGCTATACTTATGATATCTTTACAAAATTATTGTAAATAAATAAACAAAATAACATCTACATAAACTGTAGTTAAAATAAAGTTAAATAATAGTTTCTATCCATGGATGAATATATAAAATGTATAAATTTTAATATGTAAGGCTTCCTTTTCTTATCGACATTACTATGGTATATTATTGAATAATATGTTATAAATAGCTAGCACTCATATGCATATGGAATACAGAATGCATTACCAACGACAAATCATCCAATAGCAAGGCCATGTAACATCAACAGATATGCATCTAAGATAACTTTTATCTTGTTTCAAACTATATTTACCGATATTAATTTCTTAGTGTGGACACCAATCAATTAAAAAATCCACACAAATAATTTTAGTTCATATTTATCACACTAGATGGTGCTGATTCAGTAATCGTTAAATAATGGTAGGAAATATTTTTTCCTGAAATGGAAAGATATTTTTTATTTTCTATAGCAGAACACAATACGCTTAAAAACTAATTTGTAATTTGGCATGAAAATGGAAAGTTTATTTGGATATTAACTTATGGCCCTTGTCCTATCAAGGATCTACAAAAAAAGTTATTAGAGAATAGTATTACGCGCAAATGCATGCTCAAAAATTTAGCATTGACTGCAAAGGCGACAATGATTGGGAAATTCAATTCTGCTCTCTGTAGCACCCAAATCTGTAGAAGGTAAAGTCGGTACTTTACTTAAATAAAAGTATATTGGAGACCGGTGATTTGGATTATCTTTGAATGAGAATATTGACCGTTGAAGGGAAAAATATGCGACAGTCAACCTTTAACAACGATCAAAACTTCCCCTGATAGAAGAATTAAATTACAGCTGGTTCGGTTGGAGATAAGAATCACATCCTACGCAATACCTAAATATGGGCCGGTACAGTCCATTTTTAACAATAAATATTTTAGGCAAAATTTAATTAAAGCATCTTTAAAATGTTAACATCCAACTTGATTTCAACAAATGGACGGACCCTGTTAAATTGAATTATGGGGTCTCCGACGAATTTTTCAACCTAAGGATGAGAGTATAAACATAAAGTGCTGTGAAATTGATAATTTTAAAAAAGTTAGCCATTTTATCGACGTCAGCTTTTCACTCTTTTTTATGTACACCTTGTTTGGAACGTACAACAGAGATTGGATCTACAAATGTTAGCACAAATATTGTAATGTGTGAATTTTGAAGAGAACTGGAAAATACTTTCACCTTTCATGAGAGTTACAATATTCAATATATTGCCCTTTGTCAAAAAGGTACCATAAGTAATGGGCCGATCTGTTACACTAGATATAATGTTGGTGAAAGCATAGCATTAGTAATATCGGTGAATTATTTAGCATTTTATGAGATATATAATTATTCAAAACTTTGACCCTGTGCGGGGGGAGGAACCAAAAGGAGTGGACCAAAATATCTGATATTCACAATAAATATATGATTGGTGAAAATATTGAGATAGACGAAATTCATTAAATTAATTCGTATATTAGAGGGTTATAATTATTCAAAATGTTGACAGTTTGTGGGAGGAATAGAAGGAGTGGGCTGATATATCCACATTATAGCTATGATTGGTGAAAATATTGAGATTAACGAAGTGCCAAAATAACTTTATAATAATTATTCACAATTTTGAACCTTGTGGAGGTACCTGAAGAAGTGGTGCGCTATATCCCACCAGATCTTGTGTTTATAACAATATTGGGATGTGATTTGAAGGGAATCGGACTCTAAGTTCACATTAATAAAACTTATGATTATTTAAAATATTGATCTTTTTGTGGGATGTACTTGATATAGGGGTCCGATATTGCCCGTTTAATCACCTGGCATAGCACTGATAGCAATATTAGGAATTGCAAAGTTTGAATAATAATTTTTGTTCTATTAGGTTAGTTATTTTCTGTGAAAGCTCTAATCTCTTGATGGAGAAGTACCAGAAACAATGGGCCGATATTTCCTAACTCGACGGACCCATCTGGCAACGCCATAACTTTTGACAGAGATGTCATATCGCTTAATGACATACCGCGTTTGAAGCGTCAGTCCAAGCAGATTTTTACCATGAACCAATACACGCCACGCAGCGCTCTGAAATAGTTGAAATTTACATTCAACAGAAGAAGTCAATTGTGAAAAAAATGTGAGAAGTGCGCCTTCTAAGAACACCATTAAGCGTTTATACGAAAAATTATCGACTGGTAAGGCTCTTTCTAATCCGAAGAGGCCATATAAAATTCGACCAAGGCGATCGGCAGAGAATATTGCTGCCGTACGAGCCAGTATTGAGAGGTCCCCAAGAACATCCCAAAAACGCCGTTCTCAGCAGTTGGGCATGGCTCGGTCCACTTTACAACGGATTATTCGCATAGGTTTGCATTTGTTTCGTACAAAATTCAATTGACGCAAAGAATGTTGCCTGCGGACAAGCCTCGTCGATTGGAATGGGCCCAAAGGGCCCAAAGGTCCGTCGTATATGGGCAACCCTGTAAAATTATAATGTCCTAAGGTTGGAATAAATCGGATACTCCCTTGATAATTATCATGTACAAGAGCCAGTCAGAAAGATAGAGGAACGGGCACCGCTAGATCGACCTCAGGTGTTATTTGCGTATTAATGCTCTAAAGCACTATAGAAGCTATATCTTCATCGATTTCCATTTAAGTTGACAGAGGTAAATTTATGTTGTATGTGACCCCTCGAACCAAATATCAGTGCTATGGAATGTATGTTATGACTTTCAGAATATCTACATATAAAATGTATTATTTGCATCAGATTATGGGGAAATATATAAATATGAGACTTTTTTAGGCTACACTTGTAGCGGAAATTCTTGTTATGGAGTGTATCATACGGATATGGGTGACATATAAATACAATTGGATGAAAAATATAAATGGGAGCCATAGCTATATCTGAGCCGGAATTCAACACACTTTATTCTAAGCTAAATTTGGTTGTCAAAATTCATCACATTCGGGCTAATATTTTACATTTGGCGAACAATATACTTGAAAACGAACGAAGTTATATATGGAAGCTATATCAGAATATGAATCGATCTCAATAAAATTTGGCACAGGTATTTCAGAGTTATGACTGATATCTGGTACCAAATATCATTGTTGTGGAGTGCATATCAAGGGTATGGGTGACTTAAACACCAAATCGAATAAAACATACTTATGGGAACTATATCTATATCTGAACCGAATTTGGTGAATTCTGCTTCTTGGCTGAATTATTCGTGCTAGGGTCAAAAAATTATTTGTGGAAAATTTCATCTCAATCAGACAATAAATCCGACCTGTTCTTTGGTTACAAAAATACATGGAGAGACAGACGGACGGACATGCATAAATCGATTCAGAATGTGATTCAATGAAAAGAAACTAGAAACATAGTTTCCCGTTTCCTTCTGCTGTCACAAACAAATTTACAAAGACAAAATACCCTGTACCACAGTGTGTTGTGGTGTATAAAAAATATAAGCCTTATATAAAACCTTGGGAGAATGCGGTTGGTTGCATCTTGAAATATCGTAATATTGAGTTGATATTTTGAATTACATAACTCTCATAAAATCCGAACTGTTTCCCTGATATTCAATAAACTTCTAAAGTATAATTTAAGTTTCAATTAATTGGCGTAATATGTCTATTACGGAAACCCTTTTCATGTGAAACTTAAATCATAATACAATCTCACTTCCTCCACTTGCCGATTTGGCTTTTCCAAATGATAATATGCTCCCACACCCACCACGGGTTGCTGTACGTTGAAAACTTCATCAACTAAATGTTTTATGTAACAAGTAAAAAAGCTGTAAGTTCGGCCGCGCCATTTGGCCGAATTTGGCAATTCTCAAAAACAATATAATCCGTTAAAATTCTGTTAAAATCTTAAAAATACCAAATGTAGCTTATTAGGGTCTATACGACGACGTGGACCTGCATAGGTAACATTTGTCACAAGCCATTACAATATTCAAATGTGAAACTTAAAAAAGTCGTTAATAATGTAAATAAAATCATCAAAATACCGAATATAGGGAGGTACCGTTATATGGGGGCTATCCGAAGACGTGGACCTGCACAGGCAATCTCCTGTCATAGGATGTAGCATCCATTACGGATATCAAATATCAAATTTGAAACAATTCCGGTGAATAATGTCGCTTAAATCACCAAAATACCGAATATCGGGGGGTAACGTTATATGGTGGCTATATCAAAACGTGGACCTACAGGGTCTATTTTCAATACCAAAAGTCCTGCACACATAACATACATTTGAGTAAAAATTTTTCAATCTACTTCTACGTTCGGAAGCTAGAGTGATTTCCACAGACGGACAGGCTAACGGATATCGCTAAATCGACATAGGATTTTATGCTGATCAAGAATATATATACTTTGTGGGGTCTAAAATGTGTATTTCTAGGTGTTACAAACGGAATGGCAAACTTTCTTACCCTCCACCATAGTATGGAGGGTATATACTATGGTGGAGGGTATAAAAATATTCAATACATATTTTTGTGTCAACAAAACTAAACCATTTTTTTACTTTCAAATATCAATATCTTTATTCTCTATTTGAATATGCTTTACAATCGCTTACGATCTTAAACATGAGAATAAGAAAATTAGTAGCATGCCAAAATAAATATATATGTCGTACAGTTATAAGAAATCACATACTATTTATAAAATACATATATACAATAGGTCTTATAGCTAAATCGATTTTTAAAATATACAGCTACTCTCTACGATATAATAATATAAAAAACATAACAGTAGTCCGTCTACATCTTCTTTTTTACACAAATCTACAAAATATATTTATTATATTGCCATTTGCTTGATTTTTGAGTTATGCAAATCTTTATGACATCCATACAAGGGACGTCCTAGTGGGTATACATTCTAGTCTATATAGTTACACTTACAAACTAATTACAATAATAAAACCAATTATTTGAAATAATACAGTCAAGTCTCTTAAACAAAAATAAAACACTAAATTACACAGACAACATAGAGTAAAACTTTTTTCGAATTTGTTATAAAATTAAAAAAAAAAACTATTTCAACACACACTTTTGGATTATAGCTGTTCGATGTAAAACTTTTGAAAACAATTGCGTTTTGTTTTTTCTCCGGCTCCTATCTAACAAAAGTGTTTATCTCACAGATATACCATTGATAGTTATGACATTGCCCGCTGAGGGTTCAGGCTCATAGACCTCATCGTTGTTGCGCATCTCATAGGGGGCATCGTAGAACTGTTCGTTTGGTATTTGGTCGTAAATGTTTTCTAAAGAAATAAAAAATTATATAAATATGAGTACCACAAAAAAATAATTGTTTCACTTACCCCTTCCCGTTGAACCATTACCATTGGCCAATCCCCTTCCCGCACCATGGAATGTATTGAATGTGGCCGGTGGTCCATGATCCATGGACATACGTGTGTTGGCCTCCAGCGTGGAATATGACATAACCGCTGCACTCCTCTCATCTTTGGTCTCTGCTGCTTGAACATTTTCCGTATTCTTTACTGGCCTGGCCTTATTGCGATGTATAAAAATGAGACCAATCAGAAATAGTAGAGCTATAATGACCGTAGCTCCAATTGCAATGCCCGTTCCAAGTCCAGAACTTTCCTGAGCTTCTGTGGCTGTCAATTCACAGCGGGGCTCATCACCACTCCAGGTACCATCTTCGGTACATTTGCGCAAATACTGACCGATACGATTGAAACCGGGTATGCAGTGATATTCAGCTGAGCCACCATATATGGTTGTCTCATTCACCACAATGACGCGCCCGTTTTCAATGGGCAGAGGGCGACCACAGTCAACGGCTGAAATGGAATTTTGGAATAAATATACAGCTTTTTTAAAGGGAGCATATTTCAAATCTCTGTAATCATAGGTCGCCCGTCTTCGACATAAATGGACAAAAAATCCCATTTTTCGACAATATCGATTTCAAAATTGTTAAAAAAAATCGATAGCCAACATTTGATGTAGAAAAAATAAATTTTGAACATTTTCTGAAAAATGAAATTTGATTTGGAAAGTATTACTTATACCGTTTGTTCGTTCGTTGTTGTTTGGATATATGGGGCAGAAGTCATAAAGTCTCTATAGAAGACCCAAAAGGCTACTAACTCATATAAAGACTTCTGTTACTCATAGAATATATTAAAATAAAAAACTATAGTTTTTTGTTCTCCACCGCTGATACAGAGGTCGCCTGTTATGTACAGGAGATCCCAAGGCCCCTTTTGGGTCCTTAAATAGCCCCACATTTTTTTTGTCCAGAAAAAACCAAGAGGCCTTTTTCTGTCCAGGGAAGTCTCAAAGATATTTTTTTTTTTTTTTTGATGTTCATAGAAGACCCTGAAGTATTTTTCAGTCCATAGAAGTTCCCGAAATCTCCACCTGTCCACAGAAGTCCCTGAAGTCTCTTTCTTTCCAGAATAGAATCAGAGTCCTATTTCAGTCCTGAGAAAGCCCAAATATGTCTTCCTGTGCAGAGAAGAACTAAATATGTCTTTCGATCCAGATATGGCCGAGAACGCTTTCTTATGTTCAAAGCAGACCGAGTATAACCCGAAGTTTCATTTTGTCCAGAAACAAAACAGAAGAGACAGAAGCTCAGGAAAGATTTCTTCTGTCTTGAGAAGACCACGAAAAATTTTTCTGTCTATAGAAGTTCGTAAAGACTTTTTCTTTCCCGAGTAAGAACCTCTGTTCCTCTTGTTATTCAGAGAAGACCCATAGCTGTCTTTCTATCCAGAGAAGACCTTCTGTTCAGGAAGACCGACCACAAGACATAACTAAAGGTGTTTTTCTATCCATATATGGTCGAGAGGCTTTCTTCTTGTCATTCTAACCGGAGAAAAACCAGAAGACTTCGTCTCTCCTGAACCCACATGACTTGTTCTGTCCTGAGAAGACCCCAAGTAACTTTTTTGTCTATAGATGTTCGCAAAGTCTCGTTCATTTCAATTTTTTTTTTCCTTTTTTTGTTTAGAGAAGACTCATAGGTGTCTTTCTACCCAGAGGAACCTAATAGACCTTTCTTTCAGAGAAGACCGAATAGAGCCATAAGTCACTTTCTATTCTGAAAAAAACACTGATATTCTTATTCGTTCTTAAAATACCCGGAGGATTTCTTCTGACTTTTTTTCCAGAGAAGACCGAATAGAGCCAGTTGTCTCTTTCTGTCCGGAGAAGAAGGTCTTCTTCTATTCAGAGGACTTTTTTCTTATTGTCCACAGAAGACCTTCAGACATTCTGTTGCCTGTGGAGAACCAGAGCCCTATGTTAACTGTCGTCATAAGAACTTGAAATCTTCCATTACCTATAGAATACTTAGAGGTCCTCTGTGGTCTAAAGTAGATCTAGAGGGGTTTCATTTATGGAGAGGACTTTCTAGGCCCTATAGAATACCTATTTCCCTTAGAAGACCTAGAACTATTTTATTGCATATAAAAAACCTAAAAGACGCATATGAGTCTTGGCACCTTTCCTTGTCCATACAGTACTTAGAAGTCATCTGTTGTCGTCCTAGAGATGTTCTATTTACAATAGAAAGCTTAGGTAAAGGCTTGTGAAAACTCACAATAGAATAGAGTGAAGATCAATAGGTACTTCTTGTCTACAGAAAACATGGAATGGTCCACATTGTCCATAGAAACTCCAAGATGACCCTCCACCTATCAGTGATGAGAATAATATTAAAAAAATATTCCACAAGGCAATGGGAATTTAAAAAGTAGTCTTCTTTTTACAATGTTCTCTATTATTAAATTTTCTTTTAAAAATTATGTATAGAATCCCGTTCTGATTATCCAATTCATTTCTGTTTTTAATATTTTCTACTTACGTTTACATGTCGGACTCTTGCCAGACCATTTGCCATTCTTTTGACAAGTTCTTGTATCATTTCCGGTCATAATACGACCGCGCTGACACCTGAATTTGGCCAGAGAGCCCACTGAACGTTCACCAGCCTCAACAATGACACTTTCACTCAGCTCTGGCTCATCACATGTTATCTCAACACACTGTGGTGCCTCATGACTCCATGTTCCATCTTCTGTACAGAGGCGACGTGATACACCATCCAGCTTGAAATTCTCACTACATTCATAAAGGGCCGCCGCACCATAATATGTGGCATTGGTGGCCAGTGTCATTTTGCCATTGGTGATATTTTGTGGTGGACCGCATTCGACATCTACAAATGGTAAATGATTTAAATTTAAAATATATAAATAAAATATATCCCTAGATATTGTTTTTTTTTCTGTCTGTGAAATACTTACATACACACTCTGGTACATTACCACTCCACTGGCCGTTATCTTCACAGGTAACCAATGCCTCACCCACCATCTTGTAACCACGTTCGCATCGGTATTTGGCCAATGCTCCAATTCTAAGGATAAAAGAAATAAATATGTTCATATAACGTTTTGCTTGAGTGTGAATTCCAACACACGATCCACAAAAAAAGAAGTAAAAATGCTGTAAGTTCGGCCGGGTCGAACTTTCAATACCCTCCACCATTTGGAACGTGTTTGGCAATTCTCAAAAACAATTAAATCCGTTAAAAATTCTATTAAAATCTTAAAAATACCAAATGTAGCTGTCATATTAGGGTCTATACGACAACATGGACCTACATAGGTAACATTTGTCAAAAGCCATTACAATATTCAAATGCGAAACTTAAAAAAATCGGTAATAATGTAGATAAAATCATAAAAATAGCGAATATAGGGAGTAACGTTATATGGGGGCTATACGAAGACGTGGGCCTGCACAGAGAATTTTCTGTCTTAGGCTGTAGTATCCATTACAACTTCAAATACCAAATTTGAAACAATTCCGTTGAATAATGTCGCTAAAATCATCAAAATACCGAATATCGGGAGGTACCGTTATATAGGGGCTATACCAAAACGTCGACCTACATAGCCCATTTTCAATACCAAAAATTCTGCAGACATAACATACATTTGAGTAAAATTTTATCAATCTACTTCAATTCGTTCGGAAGCTAGAGTGATTTCCACAGACGGACAGACAGAGGGACATCGCTAAATCGACATAGAATTTTATGCTGATCAAGAATATATAAACTTTGTAGGGTCTAAAATGTGCATTTCGAGGTGTTACAAACGGTGAAGGGTATACAAATTGTGGATAATTATACATTTGGTCCCTTCCATCAGTGATTATACCCTCAGCCATATGGGTACATTTGATACGGTCTAGACGTGCGTCATTGAAATAACGATTTCGGAACGTATCTCTCTTTTGACCAAATCCGTTTCAGGACATTTGGAGTCGATTTAGGGGAGTCGGTCGGTCTGGCTGGTGCGCACGATAGCTCTGGAAGAGAGTATCTGGTTTGTTTTAAAACTTGGTAAATCCTAATATTATTTTCAAACTTATATCAAGTTCGGAGATGGGCAATAGCGGTCCACCTATTAGTATATCTGCCCACATTTTCACAGAAAATAATTTACTTCATAAAACAAGAAAGCATCATCCAATTTTGTGCAAACTTTGCAAATCCCAATATTTGCATGAGTGCTATGTCAGGTGGGAAAATGGACAGCGGTACACTCCAAAATTTACCTCCCCACAAAGGGTTAAATACCAATATTTATAAACACAAGATCTGTCGATCCACTCCTTCTAGTACCTCTCTCACAAAGAGGAATAACAACTATGCAAAAAAACGCGAAATGAGCATTCAATTATTTTGAAATTCAGCACATCCTAATATTTCTGCCCGTCCGTCCGTCTGTCAGTCTGTTGTAATCACTCTAGAGTCAAAACAAATTAAGATAGGAAGCTAAAATTTTACACAGATCAGTCTTTTTATATGCAAGCAGATCAAGTTCGAAGATGGGCTATATGGGTCCCCATATAACGGTGCTCCCGATATTGGGTATTTTGAAAATTGTAGCCAGAATTTTCAATGAAATTGTATGAAAATCCACGCAAGGAGTTCCTTATGAGTACTTTATCCCCAGGAAGAGAATTGTCTAGATAGGTTCACGATATCGTATACCTCCCGATATAACGATTCCTCCCGATATTCGGTATTTTGATGATTTTAGATACATTACTAACTGGATTTTTTTAAATTTTCTATTTAAAGTTCGCAATAGGTACTACAACTTATGACAGAAAATTGTCTGTGCAGGTCCACCACGTCTTTGTATAGCCCACATACAGGGTTGCCCATATTCGACGGGCCCATGACTCTTTGGGCCCATTCCAATCGACGAGGCTTGTCCGCAGGCAACATTCTTTGCGTCAATTGAATTTTGTACGCCCAACTGCTGAGAACGGCGTTTTTGGGATGTTCTTGGGGACCTCTCAACACTGGCTCGTACGGCAGCGATATTCTCGGCCGATCGTCTTGGTCTACTTTTATATGGCCTCTTCGAATTCGAAAGAGCCTTACCAGTCGAAAATTTTTCGTATAAACGCTTAATGGTGTTCTTAGAAGGCGCACTTCTCACATTTTTTAATGTTTTAAAAGCACGTTGTGTTTTCACAATTGACTTCTTCTGTTGAATGTAAATTTCAGAGCGCTCGCGTGACGTGTTCATGGTAAAAATCTGCTTGGGCTGACGCTTCAAACGCGGTATATCATTAAGCGATGTGACATCTCTGTCAAAAGTTATGGCGTTGCCAGATGGCTCCGTCGAATATGGACAACCCTGTATAACGTTACCTCCCTTTATTTGGTATTTCGATGATATTCAGCGGAATTATTTCAAATTTCGTATTTGAAGTTCGGAATCGTAACTACAGCCCCGGTTTTCATTTGAGCGGTATTTTCTTGAAGTTTCATTTAAAGTTTCTTTCAAATGGTGGAGGGTATAAAAAGTTAGGCACGTCCGAACCTAGCTGCTTTTTTACTTGTTTTTTTTTATTTAGTCAGGAATTTCATGGCTAATTGTTCCAATTCATTGACCTGGAATATAGACTTCAAAGGTTGTTGTACATACCTATAAGTCTGTGCTGCATTGGATGATGTTTCGGAGGTCCTTATCAAAGTTCTGCCATACATGCGATCATTGCCGGTAACCGATAGTATACTATGGGCAGCCAATACAGGTTCCATACAACGTATTTCTGCAATTATCCGATTTAATTTAATTTTATTTAGATTTTCATTCAGTTTCCCTTTACTTACCCTCACATCTGGGCGAGGCATCACTCCAAATACCTGACTCCAAACAAATTCTCTTTGGCACACCATTCAATTTATGCGAGGGGGAGCAGCTGAATGTGACTTCTGAACCCACATATGTGGTACTGTTGGTGTACTTAAGGCTTCCATAGGGTATGGGTGTAATTTCACCACAATCGATATCTAATTCGATAATATTTCACATTACTCATTTGATTAGGTTTAAAGTTTCCAAAATATCTTACAATCACAAAACGGTGCCTCAGCACTCCATTCACCATTGTCCATACACTCCAGTATGGGATCACCCTTTAGGACATAACCTGGATCACAATTATATTGTATCTTTGAATGGACATTATAATCATAGCCAACAACAAAGGATCCGGTGGGTACATTTGGCGTATCACATGTTACTAATTCACAGACCGGTGCATCGCCTGACCATTTACCTTCCTTGGTACAGACGAACTCTGAATTTCCATCTAACCAGTAGTCTTCTTCACAGTCATATTTAACCACAGAGCCAACAGTTGTTGTACCATTTACCAATGTAACCAAACCATGATCAGGTCGGGCCGGTGAACCACAATCCACGAAACGGCATGAAGGTGCCTTGCTGGACCATTCGCCGCCTAGACCACAGGAAATTATCTAAAATCAGAAATAAAGAAAAAAATTTTAATCTCAAAATTCAAAGAAGTTTCCGAGATCCCAGTTAAGGGTTCAAATGTTCTTCTTTGTTCAAAATTGAAAAATCTTGGTCCTTACCGGTTCTCCAACCAGAACATAGCCAGCTTCACATTCATAGGTTGCTGTGGACCCAGCTCTCTTGTTGCTGACTATAACCGAACCACCCTGAATTTGTGGCGGTTCGGGACACCAATCAACCAAACACTCGGGTTGTTTACCAGTCCAGCCATCCAACTCACAGGTTCGATTCTCATTGCCGATCAGGGTGTAATTTTCGTGGCATGAATAGGTTGCCTGTACTCCATAACTGGTACGCTGTTCAGATAGCTTTACTGTGCCGTGTTCCAATTCCGGCAGTGGACCGCAATCGACATCTGCATATATTCGAACAAACAAAAAGCAATATTAACACAAAAAAAGGCCATATGAAATAATTTACCATATAAACAACAACAAAAACCGACAAAACTAACAACAAAGGGTCCACCAAACAATGCATTGCAGTGAATGCGGATTACATATGCCTGCATACAAGCTGTGGGCTTTGCCGTACGTTTCGTTGTTGTTGTTGTTGTCTATATAATACTTTTTGTTGTTTCATTTTCCACATACATTTACAAGTGGGTGCCTTTCCGCTCCAGGTGCCATCGGTGCGACATGTACGTTCTGCATCACCGATTAACGAATGACCCTTGGGACATTGGTACTGGATTTTGTTGCCAATGGTGAAGTTTTTACCAACAATTGTTGTATTTTGCTGTGAATCTGGTGAACCACAAGATAGGGGAGCTGCAAGAAAAATGGTTTTCAATCGAAAGGGAAATTGTTAATATCGAAAAAATGTAATGAGGTTGTTGTTGTTGTTTTTGGAAAGTTTTAACACTTCGTTTAACAAGCAAATAATTGAATAACATGAAATGAAAAAAAATGAAGTTGAAATTGAAAATTGATAGTTTCCTATGAAGGTCTTAATTTGATGAGGCCTTGTCTGTAACAGAAGATGAAAGCAATAAACAGATAGGAAGAGGAAAATCAGTTGAGTATTAGTAGAGGAAATTGTGTGACTCGGTGACTTGATGAAAAAGAGGAAAGAAATTTGAGATGCCGGTTGCATAATTATGACATCGAAGAAAGTCGGAGCGGAACAATTGACATATTGCAACACATATTTTTTATATGGAAGTCGGCTTTTAAGGGGTAATAAGAGCCAGTGCGGCCTGGCAGAATTTTTGGGAATCAATAACTTCTGCATAGACTTTTTAGGTGTTGTTATACCCTATACCCCATAAAGCCCATAAAGTTTGTAATACCTCGACATATTGTTCCAATATCCATCAATCTATATATAGATCTTCCTAACTCTCTGAGCTGAGTCGATTTAGCTATGTGTGTCCGTCCGTCTGCCCATATTAAATTGTAATCATGCACGAAGTTAGGTTTGGGGAGATGACCGCTCTAAAGGGATTATCATAGACCGATCGACGCGAAATTTTGTACGTGATTAGAGTTTAGCATAGGCTAGAAGCTTACCACTGTGGATAAGCATCGGATAATATTTAGCGTTCGAAATGGACAACAAATTTTGTTTGAAAAATACCGAAATTTTAATTCATCCCCAAAATTACATGTTGACGAATTTGAAGTATTGTGAAAAGCTAACGCACCCAAAACGAGCCAATTTTTGGTGCGGATTTTGGTCCAGATGCATTTTTGGTCCATTTTTCTTCGAAAATGAGCAAGGAGTGGCCACAAAATTTTTTGTTCAGAAGAATTGAGAGAACGATATTTGGTTTCAACAGGACGGCGATACGTACTATAAAGCCGAAACTACACTCGATTTAAAATAAAAATAATTGACGGAACCTATATATACAGGGTGAGATGAAAAAACTGCAAACAACTTCAGACTGCTATCATTTCTAAGACACTCGTCCGACAGCTGTTAAAATTATTACAGTGACAGCTCATTATATTGTTTACAAGAGTACACAGGAATTATGGCGAGAATTTCCAGAAAAAAAGCTATTCGTGATGGAATTCAAGCGTGATTTTTTTTATTTGGCTGGAAAACCACACGTGGCTATCGTTAAAGCACTCCAGCATTTAAATGTGAATAAATCGATTGTGTCTCGTACCATCTCTCGTTACCGTGATACTGGTAGCGTAGCCCGACGTCAAGGAAGTGGACGGAAGAAAACAGCAACATCAGCAGAAATGGTTCGAAAAGTAAAGAAGCGACTTGATCGAAACCCGCATCGCAGTAGACGAAAAATGGCTCGTGAGCTGAACATATCGCAATATTTCATTCGGCAAGTATTGAAAAATGAGTTCGGGGTAAAGCCATTGAAATACCGAAAAGTGCAAGAACTTACACTGCAACAGAAAGGAAATAGACTCAAAAGAGCTAAAGAGTTGCTTCGCTTAGCGGAAAGTGATGAACTGCCGAATTTGATTTTCTCCGATGAGAAAACATTTGTTGTCCAGCAACGTGTTTACTTGCCAAAGAGGTCAGCTGAAAATGTGCACCTTCGGTTGGCCACCAGAACTCAAGCGTGGGCCATGGTGATGGTATGGGCCGCCATAACAGCCGATGGTCGCTCTTCGCTCGTATTAATCGACCGTGGCATTAGAATAAATGCTGAATATTATCGCGAAAATATTCTGAAGTGTGTATTAAAGCACGCAAACATTTTGGCTACAGACCTTGGGCATTCCAACAGTACTCAGCACGCGCCACCCAAGAATGATTACAAAATGAGGTTCCACGCTTCGTTTCCAGCGCACAATGGCCACCAAAATCTCCGGATACCAATTCGTTAGACTGCTGTGTCTGGAGTATTTTGGAAAGCAAGGTTGGCACTAAAAAATTCCAAAGTTTCGATCACCTCAAACAAGCGCTTCGCTAAGAATGGGCCAAAATACCGAATACAAAATACAGAACAACATTCGGGCTGCGTGTGACGTTTTCATTGGCTGTTTGAAGGCAATAATTCGTGTCAAAGGCGACCGATCAGAACAAATCTAAACTTATTCTAAAATTTGATGCTATTTTCGAAATTTTTTGCTTTCATTGAATAAAATGTACAAAAAAAAACTAAAAATTATGTTTGTAGTACACATTTCAAAAACCTTCTCTTTATCACAAACCTACCACAAAAAACGACCCCAATTCAAAATTTAAAAATTTCAACTTCATCCGTTCAGCTTAAACCAAACTGCCACAAACACTTAGTACCCATTTCCAAAACTACCTTCATATATCAAACTTTCAAGTTTTAGCTCTCTCCGTTCACATAATTCTAAATTGTACTATTTTAGAAGTTTAGTAACCTTTCTGAACTTTTCGTAAACTTAAAGTTCATATTTCGAAAAACCCTTTCATACATTTATACTGCACTCCAACATTTCAATTTTCAGAAATGTATTTCATTCCGGTTGTCCAAAACAAAATATTAAATTTTTAGTACGTTTTAGTACGTTTTGTACCCATTTATTACGAATTCCCAAAACCTCAGGCTTAGCAGACGCCTACACACCAAGGGTCCAATTTTTTTAGTTAGGGATATAAGTCCACAATATGTGGTGTGAAAAGGGTTCAAGACTCCATCCAAAACTTGTTGATTAAATCCACGATATGGAATGTAAAAAAGGAGTACTGTCAAAAAAATTCGATAAAGAACTTGATTTTAGATGTGGGTGGAAAGCAGAGCTTCTGATAAAATATTGTCGATATAATACAACAATTTCAGTTGTGAATAGTAAGCAAGTGGATGGGGAGCAAGACTTCGATAGTAGGGAATACCAGGTTTCTGGCAAAAATATTTGGCATGAGTCAACGATGTAAAACAGACTTTTGAGAAAAATTGCAAAAGATGAATTTTTCCTAAGAATGTTTTATAAAAGTACACAATTTGAGACTAGTACACTATTTAAAATAAGGAAAGTTTCACATAAAAAGTAAGGTTTCAATAAAAAAGCTTTATTATTTGAATGGGATATTGGCTAGTAGGAATATCTGAATATAATAGCGAGAAAATTTTGTAAAGTCCGGCTATAGTTCCAATATTATTTTGCTACCAACTACATTTTTATACTCTCCACCTTGGAAAGGAAGGTATATCAACTTTGTCATTCCGTTTGTAACATCTCTAAATATTCGACGTAGACACCACAAACTATATAAATATTCATAATCAGCACAAAATTCAAGGTCGATTTAACGATGACTGTCTGTCTGTTGAAATCACGATACAGCCCACATTATTTGACGAAGAGCTTCAAAATTTGGCGGAACAATTTGTATTGTGTCTAGGATGGTTGGTATTGAAAATAGAATATATCGGTCAACGTTTTGGAATAGCCCTCCCGGTACCTCCCAATATTCGGTATTTTTATGATTTTTGCCACATTTTTCACGAATTTGACTAAAAATTGGTATTTGTATGTCATAATCGGTTCTAGCTTGTGTGGCTGAACAGGTTATAGCGGGTTCTAGCTTCGGTGGCGAAACATTGTATGTGTAGGTCCATGTTTGGTATAGCCTCCATATAACGGTACCTACCGATTTTCGGTATTTTGATAATGTTTGCCACATATTTTAACGGATTTGCCCATACAATGTTTCGTGTTTTCTTCGGATTCCATAAATTCGTTCAGCAATGTCTTCTTAAGCGTATCATATTTCCCATTCGCTGGAGGATTCTCCAAAACATGGCTCACATGGCTTAGGATGTTGCTTTCCATGGACCCAACTAGCGTGTGGAACTTCGTTTCGTCGGAAGAAATTCCTGCTGTTACGAATTGAGATTCCAATTGAATAAACCACAGCCTTGGATTTTGTCGCCAAAATGGTGGAACACGTAAAGCAGCACGGGATATTTAGATTGTATTGTTTCGGTTGTCATGTTTGAAATTTGTTATTTTCTTTCGTTCGGGGTAACCAATGTAGTATGGATACAAGTGTTCTTTTTTATTTCAAATTCAATACTAAATTTTATTTTATGAAAATATTTTTGTTGACATTTTATACGAAGGTATAATTCTTAGCCTACTTGATGCTTATTATATTTTATAAGCACAGTTTATTTTATACTGAGTGCCACCACACCCCCATACGACGGTACATCCCGATATTCAATACTTTCATGATTTTTGCCACATTTTTCCAAAAATTGATATTTGTTCTAGCCCTATGGCAGAACATTGAATATTTAGTCCTATAGCGCACGTATAACGATATTCACCCATATTCGGTATTTTGATAATCCTAGTCACATTTACTCACATAATTGTTGCAAATTTGGTATCTTAAAAGATTTAATAGATGACAATCCTAGATGTATAAAATTGTCTATAGAGGTTCCCGTTTTGGTATACCCCACGCAACGGCCTGCCTCCCTTTAGGGTTTTTTGATAAGTTTAACTACATTATCCAAACGGTCTCACTGGTATATAAAGTTTAAAGTGAAACACGCGTGAATTCAGGTACTTCTATATATATTCTATATATTCTAAGGTGGACGGCATTAAAAGTTCGGTCCAGCCGAACTTAATGTTTTTTACTTGTTTTCATTTGTAGTTGCTAATATTTATAGTAAATCTCCTCTTAAACTTATTTAAACTAAATGGCCAAACAACTTTCAAAAAATCGTTTAATCAAAACGTTAGTTTTTTTCTATTCTCCCACAACCCGTTGTCTAACCACTCTCATTATGGAATTCTTTTCACACTATACCGAAACCGAAACTAAAAAAAACCACTTACCATGCTGGCATATAAAATGTAAATAATCCAGATTGCAGCCTACATCATTCCACAGCCAATTGCGACCGCCATCCAATACCACGCAATTTTGTTCGCCGTTGTAGTTGTTCGGTTGATCTTTGCCCCAAGCTGGTTTCTGTACTATTTCACCTGCAAAACAAAGAAGGAATTCAGAAAAAATAAAAATCAAAAAGAAACGAAAAATAGTGTGATTCAGACAACTGAATAAATGGTCATAATCAAGGTTAAATTAAAAGCCAAAAAATAAATGAATTTCAAGTCTATAGACATGCGTTTCTTGAATTCATAACGGCTAATCAATGTAAACAATAATTAGAAATAATTTTTTTTTTTTGGTAAAAAAAAAACAGTAATGAATGGAAATATAATAAACAAAAAAAAAATAATAACTTTCGTTTTTCAACACAATATCTGTTAAATGGGAAACCTTTATTGAAAAAAAAAAAAAAACATTGAGAAAGGCATATAAGGTGCTGTTGAACGTGTATCGGCGTGTGCACAAATAGCTATCGTACACTTTTTTTTTTTTGATAATTTATTACGCTAATTATAAATACTTGCTGGGAATATTAGTTATGGTAGAAGTTGTTTGTTAGAAATTCCCAAAGTAACAACTGAAATGGCATTTCTAGCCTCCAGCAATGCCCATGGCCCAGCTCATGCTTCCAATTTAGCTGTCCTTATTGCCGGCATGTATATCATTAACACTCTAAGTAATATTTTTCTTGCCAATAAAGGTTCAAATGTGGCTGTTTGACGATTGCTATGGAGATCTCCTTGAAAGGCCCCAATAAGTAATTAAGAATTTTTTTCTCTGTACATTTTAACGAATAGAAATAAATTAATATTTTTCGGAGGTCATAAAAGTGAACCATATGGGGCCATAAAAGTGTACCATCTGATATTCGGAAATTTAAAATTTTTTAATAAAAATTCGGTGCAGATGAATTTTAATTAAGATATATCGAAAATTACGGCTTGAGTAGTAAAATAATATTTTGAATTTTTACGAGTATATGGATCTTCCTATCTCGCCAAGCTGTCATTCTAGCTATGTATGTCCGTCCGTCCGCCTGTCCATGTGGACCGATCCACACGAAATTTTGCATGGGCGTGGGGTTAGTGTCAGAATAAAAGCCTATTGCCTTTGGAGATGATCGCATATTATTTAGGGTTAGAAATGGACTAAAAAAAATTGTAGTTGCTCCACAGGTCGCAATTATAGAACAATCGACGTGGAAGTTAGCATGGGGCTAGAGCTTAAAGCTGGGGTGAAGCTTTCCAATTTGGATGGTCATCGGTTAATATTTAGAGGGTGAAATAAACCATAATATTTATGTTAAATAAAAGTCAAATTTTCCATTAAACCGCGATTTTGTCAAACCGGCCTGTCTTTCCTGTAGTTGGGACTCCCTTTATAAGTGAGCTCTTCTTATACCTGAAAATATGTTTATTCAAATCAAATTCGAAATATTTTATTATATACTGAATTCGGTCACATATGCCAAAATTCATCATTTTGGGGTGATATTGCACATTTGGTACACGAGAGACCTGAAATCGGATGAAATTATATATGGGAGCTATATCCAATTCTGAACCGACTTTGACAAATTTTGATATCTGAACCCCTATTAGACAGGATTCGGTAGAATGTGCCAAAATAGAGGCTATGCAGGCTTATATTACGCAATAAACGTGAAATCGGAATTATATATATTTCGAAGCTATATCTATATTTGGACCGGTTAAACAAATTTCAATAGGGTGCATCATTAGGCCAAACAAATCACAATCGAACTAAAAATGCGACCTTTGAATCGACTCAGAATGTAGTTCTATGGAGATCATCAAGAGGAACTGTCGGTGTTTTTATACCCTCCACATACTATACATATATTCTTGATCAGCGTAAAATTCTAAGACGATTTAGCCATGTCCGTCTGTCTGTCTGTGTGTCTGTCTGTCTGTCCGTCTGTCTGTCTGTTGTAATCACGCTATCTTTCGAACAAATTGAGATAGAAGGCTAAAATTTTGCACACATGTATATTTTCCCAGTAGGCAGGTTAAGTACGTAAATGGGCCATGTAGGTCCAAGTTATTATATAGCCCCCATATAACGGTACCTCCCGATATTCGGTATTTTGATGATTTTAGCGACATTATTCACCGGAATTATTTCAATTTTGGTATTTGAAGTTCGTAATGGATACTAAAGCCTATGACAGAAAATTATCTGTGCAGGTCCACGTCTTCATATAGCCCCCATATAACGGTACCCCCGATATTCGGTATTTTGATGATTTTAGCGACATTATTTACCGGAATCGTTTCAAATTTGGTATTTGAAGTTCGTAATGGATACTTCATCCAAAGTCAAAAAATGAGACATGTAGGTCCACGTCTTCATATAGCCCCCATATAACGGTACCCCCAATATTCGGTATTTTAATGATTTTAGCGACATTATTTACAGGGATTGTTTCAAATTTCGCATGTGAAGTTCGTAATGGATACTTCAGCCCATGCCAGAAAATTGTCTGTACAGGTCCACGTCTTCGTATAGCCCCCATATAACGGTACCCCCCACGTTCGGCATTTAAATATTGTAATAATTTATGACAAAAGTTGCCTATGCAGGCCCACGTCGTCGTATAAGCATTCGGTATTTTTAAGATTTTAACAGAATTTTTAACGGTTTTTTTTTGGAAATTGCCAAATTTGTACCAAATTGTGGAGGGTATTAAAAGTTCGGCCCGGCCGAACTTACAGCTTTTTTACTTGTTATACCCTACAACACTATGTGTTTGAGGTACTATAAGTTTGATTGGGCCAAAAATTATGTAACACCTCGAAATATTGGTTTCCCACATAGGAAAGTATATATGGATCTTTCTATCTCGCCAAGCTGAGTCTATATGGATATGTATGTCCGTCCGTCTCTCCATGTTAATTTGTAATCACTCTCCAGGTTTCAATTATGGCCCTATCCTCACGAAATTGAAAATGGAGGTGGAGTTAGGTTTAAAATATAAGCCCATTGCTTTTGGAGATCGCAAATTATTTAGGGGTTGAAATGAGCCAAAAAATCTGATTTTGCTGTTGCTTTACCGGCCACAATTATTAACCAATCGAGGCGGAATTTTGCATGGAGTTTTAGTTCAAGGCTGGGCAGAAGCTAATCAATTTAAATAGTAATCGGACAGTATTTAGCGGGTAAAATAAACCATAAGTTTTATGTCAAAAAATACGAAAATGCCCACTGAACAGCGAATAGTTTGAATTCCGTCAAAACACAAATATATTTAAAGGTCACTCCTGATTATTATAATGATGCCAAGATATCGGATAAATCGCAAAATAAGTACAATATATATGTAAATGAAATAGATCTTAGTTATTCTCCTTATAAGTCAAGAACCAGTGGACAGATTTTCACAATTCTCATCAATTCGGATCGCATAAAAATACAACAATAAAAAAGTTAATATTTTTTTATTTTTTGTCACATTTTTATCGCATGCGATTTTTTTATATTTGACTTAAAATTCTTAATTTTACATTTTCTAAAGTTTTTGTACACTATATGTTTAGGGTATTATATAAAGGTCACAATAATCGTCTGATCCTCACGAAATTTCGCATGGGTGTAGTGTAACAAATGCCCAAAAACCGAAGGGTAACATCTGGACAGGGCTCTTTGACATTATTTCAAAAACGAAATTTTCCAAAGTGGATTTGGATATAAGGAGGCTTTCAACATATTGTAGTATTGTAGGGTATCACGTGATCGGCCCCGCACCTATTATAGCCTTTGACCACTTGCTAAAATTTCACGTGTTTCACATTCTTGCATGGTTTGAATCGATTTTATTCTCGAAATAATGTCACATCGTTATTTTGGTTTTTGACAGGAGCCATGACAGGTGTCATGTCCAATGGGATTTTAAAACAATAACTGAAAATGTATATTTCTGTATTTATGTCTATATCTCAGATATCTCACTATATATGTCAACGAAACAAACATCAATATAGAGGTCGGTGGCTACTACCGATGAGTATGTGATTTTAGATGGAAGTGACTTTTATCATCAAAAATGGATGGAATGGATGGAAATGACTTTTGTAAACAAAAATTTTGAAATTATTCTCAGTAAAGTTATAATCAATATCACCCATCAAATATTATCCAGCGACCATCCACAATTCTATGATCCTGCCATGTCTGTTTTAAACTCTAACCCCATGCAAAATTCGCATCGACTTCTCTATAATTGTAAACAGGAAAAAAATTTTTTTTAGGTCCAGAAAAAATAGTCTTTTATGCTATCCCTAACCCTGACGCCGTGTAAAATTTCGTGAGAATCGGACCATAATTGTGTGCCGTCGTTTGATTTTAATGTAACATGGAAAGGCGAAATAACGAACATACATAGCTAGATCCACTCATCTCGGTGATATGGTAGATCTATTTAAGGTGTTACAAACTTTTTGTTGCAATAAACTTTTACTTTTTGACCCACCTCTTTCGCACGTTTTTTTTTCTACCAAAACGAAATAGTGTGGAACCTTTGGGTTAAAGTTGAGCATTGAATAGAAATTTCTATGAACACGCACGCATGTTCCGATCACCGCTTAAAATTAAGAGTCATGACAAACTAATTGATTGGTGTTTAGCTACATTTTCATTAAATTATTAATTTGTCATGACTCATGACCTATCTGAATAAAAGCACACTGCCTCAAAGCTACAAACCTTAAACAGCGTAAAATACACTACACACTTTCTTTTCATTTCACCAAAGAAATAAAAAAAAGTATTTTTAGAATGCCAAATTTAAAACAAAAACGAAGAGATAGCTCTGTTGTTGTTGACGCCATTTTAAATACGGAATATTTTCAATGCCCTGTGTTATTTACCTGTCTACAAAAACATCACTTAAATTTTCCGGTTTTTTTAAGGTGTAAAAAACGAAATTTTAATATCTACCTTAATATTATTTTTACTAAGTTTTTATTGAATTTTCAGCATGTTGTATACAGATTTTATGTACTCATACACATGAAAACGAATGCAATAAGTGTGGTCATCGTGTACTCACCATTTACCCACTTCCAGGTGCGTGAAGTAATGCCGGGTTCTTTTTGTGCACCTATCCAAACGAGCTGCGTTTTCAGTTCCGATTTGCGTCTTTCCAACTCTGAGAGTATGTAATCGTTTGCAGCTCCACGGAAATCGTGCACCAAATCACCACCTATAAATAAGAAAAGTGATACAAATTAATACGAAAATTCTTAAACTTCGAAATACAACAAAAATTCGTGATGTAGATTTCTTTTGTGGAACAAGTTTAAAATGCTTACACTGTTTCTTTCATTTAAGCTGCGAATCATGATTTTGTCAGCTTATCATGGAATATGAATCTTATCATAGCAATTTTGAATGTTTAATTTAATAAAAAAGACTTAAAAAAATTAATTGAGAAATGCATTATGTATAGCATTTACCTGCGAGGACAAATATTATGAACTAGTGTCAAGACAATATCTCATTTTTTATGGATTGTTTTCGAATGTATGAACAATTAACCTTGATTTCTGTGAACTATGCAACCTGTTATATCTCTGTTCCATTATTTGTTATAAATATTATTAAAATTGTGAAGAAACTTTAATTTTAAATACTTTTAGTTATATTTAATGTTATATGTGGCATAAGGTGCCATATAAGTGAGAATGTTAACTGAGGTTAACCTAAGCTCAAAATTACTTGATTTAGTTTAATTTTTTTATGAATTGACCAAGTTATTAGCAATAAAAACGGGACAATTGCTTGAATTCTGCGCTATACTATATATATTCCTGATCAGCATAAAATGCTAAGACGATTTTGCCCTGTCCGTCCTTCCGGCTGTCGTTCGTCCGTCTATTGTAAACACGCTAGAGTCAAAACGAATAAAGATAGGGAGTTAAAGTTTTGCAAAAATCTGTCTTTTGTCTGTAGTCAGGTCAGGTTCAAAGATGGGCTATATCAGACCACGATATCATTACCCCCAAAAACGGTACCCCCCGATATTCGGTATTTTGATGATTGTAGCCAATTTTTTATATTGTCTGAAAAACCACAAAAGTAGTTCCTTCTGAGCACTTTACCTCCTGGAAGAGTATTGTCTATATAGGTCCACGACATCGTGTATCCCCCATTTAACGGTACCTCCCTGTATTCGGTATTTTGATAGTTTTAGCTACACTTTTCAATGGAATTGCCTATAAATCCATTTTAGAATTTTTTCTAAGAACTTTACCCTCTGGAAAAGATATGTCTATATAGGTTCACGATATCGTATAGGCAACATACTACTGTACCCCTCAAAATTCGGTATTTTGACGATCTTAGGAACATAATTCACCTGAGTTGTTTTCAATTTCGTATTTAGAATTCGTAATGGCTACTACATCCTATGACAAAAATTGTGTATGCAGGCCCACGTCTTCGTATAGCCTCCATGTAACGGAACCTCCCAATATTGGGTATTTTGATTATTTTACCGACATTATTCACCGGAGATGTTTCAAATTTCATATTTAGAGTTTATACAGGACTTCGTATAAACTCCATAAATCAGGAAATCCCTATATTCGGTATTTTGACAATTTCAGGTACAAAATTCCCCGAAATTGTTTGAAATTTCGTATTTGAAAATTTCTAATGTCCGTCCGTCCGTCTGTCTGTCCGTCTGTCCATGTATTTTCGTAAACAAAATGCAGGTCGCATTAATTATTCGATTGAGATGAAATTTTCTAAATAACATTTGTTTGATTCAAGGACGAAATTGGTGAAAATCGGTCCAAATTTAGATATGGCTCCCGTATATATCTTCATCCGATTTTAGGTTTCTTGTGCTCCAAATGGCTACTATCAGTCCAAATGGTGTGAATTTTGACACTTCAAACCGAATTTAGTATAGAAATAAGTACTTCAAATTTGGTGCACGATACAAGAATAATATTTGGTACCAGATATCAGATGCAGCCAAGAAATAGCTGTTTTCAATTTTATGAAGATCGGCTCAGATTTGGATGTAGCCTCCATATATATCATTATTCGATTACAGGTTTATTGTGCACCAACTAGCTAATATTAGCCCAAATGGAGTGAATTTTCGAAATTCAACCGTGTTTAGCATAGAAGGAAGAATTTCAAATTTGCTTCCATATACATATATGTTTCATCCGATTTAGTTTTTAAATCTCCAACTTTCGGAATATGCTACCGTAATGATATTTTGTTCCAGATATGTCATAAAGATCAGAAATTGCAATATAAACCTTCCTTTTACGAGAGTTCTACTAAATATGCATAGTGGTGTAGGGTATCATATAGTTGGCCCCGCCCGACTTTTCAGCCTTCCTTATTGGTTTTACATATGTATTGTTCCTATTTTGCTATACATCCGATATCTTGGCTATCAGCATCGCTGTAATGGTCAGAAGTAACCTTTTAATGTATTTGTGATTTGGCCTGGATTAAAAATACCCGCTAAATACTTTCAGATGATCGTCCAAATTAATGACTCCATGCAAAATTCCGTCGATTGGTTTACAATTGTAGGCAGTAGACCAACAGCAAAATCAGGAATTTGTTTTATTTTTCGTCCATTTTAACCTCTAAGTATTTAGCGATCATCTCCAAAAATAGCCTTCTATTCTGACCGTAACCCCACCTCCATTTTCAATTTCGTGAGATTCGGGCGTAATTAAAAAAGACTTTTAGTTTTATGTAATTCTTTGTTTCCACTTCTATTGAGCTTACGATCTCGTCACTTGGGTAATTTTTTTTTGTCATAGGAGTTATTTTTAAAATAACCCCTGGGAAGAATATCCCACACTAAAAACAAGGGAAATGATGAGGATTGGTGGCTCCTTCCGAAACCTATGTAGTCCCAGTCTTACCCCCTAGTGAACATTACCATCATTCTCCAATAAAAAAAAGTTGTTTTTAGAAAACAACAATAATGGGATTGAACCTGACCATTTTGCAACAACAAAATACTATGGTATCCCGAACAAACATGCCAACAGTCCAAATTAACATGAACAAACGGACGGACATTCATAGCTAGACTGATTCAGCTCGTCGAGATAGGAAGATCCATATATGGATTCCTATGTAGAGGACCAGTATTTCGAGGTGTTACATAGTTTTTGGTCCAATCAAACTTATAATACCCCTAACACATAGTGTTGTAGGGTATAAAAATTTAAAAATTGAAAGAGGTTTTTCTAGAAGCTATTTTAGGTGGTTTAAAACACCCATCTACGAATGGAACTCACCTGTAACTTTGCATGTCTGTTGGGCCTTTTCGAAATTTTCTCCCTTGGTAACATGGAATTCATAGCATGTCTTCGAAAAAGTGGTCAGCACAGTATCAACACCCAGTTTCGAACTTAAACAACGATCGACGGAAAATTCATCATTGGTGAATACCTCAACTTCACACAAACTCAGACTGCCTTCAACACCGACCAATTGAATTGCAACATATTGACCAACAAGAGGACGGGCACAAGTAAATGTCTTCGTTATGCCTTCATCCAGAGTACCGGGATACCAGGCACACAATGGATTACGCTGCAAATCGGCACTACTGTTGCCCACACGAATTTCTAAATCTTGCAAGGGTTGATGGCCGCAACAGCCTCGTGTGGTTATGCGCACTACACGCACCGCTTGGGGTGTCAACAAATCTACACGCCACCAGGGTGATGGTTCCTTTTGTGTCTCCGAACACTGTTGGCCATCGGGATTTTTATTTCCCGGTTCACCGTCATTGGCATAGTGGGCCGGACCAGCCCGGGTATATGAACTTTGATTGACCGGTTTGCGATAGGCCACATTGCTGCCACAAAATGGCAACTCCTTTTCCCAGCCAGTGCGTGAATCGCATTTTATTGTCGGAGAACCAAATAGTTCATAGCCAGGATCACATTCATATTTGGCCTCCAGAATTGCAGTGCCATCCGAAACGGTTTGTACCTTGGCATTCAGGGGAACGGCAGGGGGTCCACAAACTAGAATTAAACACAAAATAAAATGAGGTTAGTTTTTTTGTTAACAAATTTAAGAACATAAATCTGACTTTTTAAGAACTTTACAATGCTCTGACTTAGTGGTGCTAATTAAAGAGAATTACCCAACTTATATTTTTAGCACTGTCATAGTTTTTTGGAAAACATTTTAAAATGGTACAAATATGGTATTATTTTCACACTGTTCGATTGTCTATTGTTGTCACAGGGGTTATTGAACCTACTCGGTTCATTTACCCAGTCGCTGTCTAAAAGGTAAGCATCATCTGTCGCTACTCTTTGTGCCGTTTAAGCGAACATCGATCCATATTTGTACATCAAAGTTTCTACTACTACAACAACAACATCAGCAGCAGTCAAAAGCTATGATTATGGGCCACACATAAATTAATTCACAATTGAATCTACAGCCAAGACGAGCTTAACGGAAAACCATTGCTCGTCGTTGTCGTCGCATTCGCTCTGAAATGTTGACATAATTTTCACAAAATAACCCACATACGAATGCCGCCGATTTTACAGAATAGCATTCTATTCCGCCGTGTCTGCAGAGACTCATAAACCGCTCTGACAAAATAAATCTTAGGTTAATGACTTGAGATCAACCGTTATTTATGAGAACATGCGGATATTCATTTTTTTCGTTTTGTTTATTTTGATGGAAAACAAATTGAATTAAACTGTACGTGGGGGTTTAATTTCAGTCGGAAATAAATCCCGTTGTTTGACATAAAGATAAAGAGAGCAAATTTTTTATGATAGGATGCCGCAATAGGTTAGAATAAGATACCATTTAATTACACTGTGCAACATAATGTAGCTTGAGGTTTGAATTTTGATTAAAATCCAGTATGACTTCACGAACAATGGAACTAAAAAAGAGTGTCGAAAAATGCCAACTGGCCCATATAACATTTCCTAAGTTTTTGGGTTACCTTTACAAAAAAACGTAATGGTGTGGAACTGAATTTTTTGAAAAGAAAAAAACCTAAAACACGAATACAAAATTCTTATAGTCTAAACTATATGGCTACAGAGGATACATATCATAATACCCTAAAACACTATGTCTTGGTAGTATCATACGTTTGATTGGGCCAAAAATTATGTAGCACCTCGAAATATTGGTTTCCCACGTAGAAAAGTATATATGGATCTTCCTATCTCGCCGAGCTGAGTTGATCTAGCTATGTATGTCCGTCCGTCCGTCTGTCCATGTTAATTTGTAATCACTCTACAGGTCGCAATTATGGCCCAATCTTCACGAATTTCAGAATGGAGGTGGGGTTAAGGTCAGAGTAGAACCCTATTTCTTTTGGGGATGATCACATTATATATAAGGGTAGAAGTGTTCCGATTTTGATGGTCCTCGGCTACTATTTATGGGTTGAAATAGACCATAACATGTGTGTTAAATAAAAGTCAAATTTTCCATTAGACCGCGAATATTTTTAATCCCGGCGAAATCTCATATAGACGAAAAGATCAATTCTGACCATTACGCTGATGCCGAAAATAAATATAACGGATATACAGGGTGTGATGAAAAAACTGCAATCAACTTCAACTGCTGTCAATTCTAAGCCACTCGTCCGACAGCTGTTAAAATTATTCCAGTGACAGCTGACAGCTCACAGCTGGTGAGAAATTTCCAGAAAAAAAGTTATTCGTGATGGAATTTAAGCGTGATGGTGTGATTTCTTTATATTTGCCTGGAAAACCACAAGTGACTATCGTTAGAGCACTCCAGCATTTAAATGTGAATAAATCCTTTGTTTCTCGTACTATCACTCGTTACCGTGAGACTGGTAGCGTAGCCCGACGTCAAGGAAGTGGATGGAAGAAAATGGCAACATCAGCAAAAATGGTTCGAAAAGTAAAGAAGTGACTTAATCAAAATCCGCATTACAGTGGCGGAAAAATTGCTCGTGGGCTGAACATATCGCAATATTCCATTCGACAAATATTGAAAAATGAGCTCAGGGTAAAGCCATTGAAATTCCAAAGAGTGCAAGAACTTACACCGCAACGGAAAGAAAATAGACTCAAAAGAGCTAAAGAGTTGCTCTGTTTGGCCGAAAGTGGTGAACTGCCGAATTTGGCTTTCTCCGATGAGAAAACTTTCGTTGTCCAGCAGTTTTTAAACAAACAAGATGAACTTGCCAAAGAGGTCAGCTGAAAATGTGCACTTTCGGTTGGCCACCAGAACTCAAGCGCCGGCCATGATGATGGTGTGGGCCGCCATAACAGGTGACGGTCGCTCTTCGTTCGTATTAATCGGCCTTAGCATCAGAACAAATGCCGAATATTATCGCTAGAATATTCTGGAGGGTGTATTAAAGCCTTGGGCATGCATACATTTTGGCCGCAGACCTTGGACATTCCAACAGGTCTCAGCACCATCGCATTCAGCACGCGCCACCGAAGAATGGTTACAAAATAAGGTTCCTCGCTTCATTTCCAGCGCACAATGGCCAGCAAAATCTCCGGATACCAATTCGTTGGACTGTTGTGTCTGGAGTATCTTGGAAAGCATGGTTGGCACTAAAAAATACCAAAATGTAGATCACCACTTTTCCGGGAATGAGCCGAAATACCGCAGAGCAATATTCGGGCAGCGTGTGACGGTTTCATTGGCCGTTTGAAGGCCATATTTCGTGCCAAAGGTAACGAATTCGAACAAATCTAAACTTATTGTAAAATTTGATGCTATTTCCCAAATTTTTTGGTTTCATTCAATAAAATTAAAAAAAATGTAAAAATTATGTATAGGTCCTGGTTTTAGTACAACCCTAATATAAGGATATAATCTGTTTTTAGTTATTCCCAGGGTTTTGGTTACACTTGAAATCAATTTGGCTTAATATTTGTATTTTGGTTTTTTTGGAGGTAAAAACTCTTCGAAAAAAAGTACGGCATCAAATTATGACTTTTGATATTTGCCAGTACCTATAATAGAATTTCATAACAAGTGAATTTTTAGAATATTTATATTTGCTATCATCCGATTTAAAGGGCGTTTTCAAACATATTTTGAAAATAGGACGAAAATTACCCCTTTGGTGACTCGCTGAGAGTTATTTTTTTAACAAAAATAAACCTCATATTATGTCTGTAATATTTCCGAAGACGCTATTTATTTTAAATGTAAAAAATCGAGGAATCTCAGTCCGAACATTTCAAAAGATTGGGGAATTGCCCAATCTTCTTTGAAATAATTTGCGATGTAAACCTTCAATACACGTCGATTCTAGTTTTAGCTGATGGACATGCTGGATTTTTATAATTAATTATTTATTGTGTTGCACAGTGTTATTCTTCTTTTTCCACAATTGCCCCATTGTTCCAACCATTTTTGCCCCCCTTGACTAAAATCTAAACCTAAATTTCATGCAACTGCAAATTATTCTCGATAGTTCTATTCTGTTAGGCCTATGATGAAAAATTCTTCAACATTATTTTTTAATCCTGAGAAAAAAAGAACAATTTTACGTAGACAGCAACATTGAGGTATGCTGACACCAAAGAATGTTAAGCTAACAACAATTTTCTGTTGTTGCCATTGTTAAAGTTAAATCTCATAGTTTGAACAATTGTTTCTTTCTTTTCATGTGAACTCATTAAATACGGCTAAACGTACACGTTTTAATTTTTCGCAGAAATTTGCTTGTTTCATTGTGTTGGTATATAACTATGTAAAATGTTATTTTAATTTCAATTATTTTATACATTAAATACCCACCCATACACATACAATATAAGTACAAATGGATTGTTTGTTCTTTTGGATATTTGATGCGTATTTCTTATAATTGCTTTAACACATTTCCCTTTAATTATCATTCAGCTACATTCTAAATGTTGAAAATTCACGTGAGACTCTCTGGAGATAATTTGAGTTTAATTAAGTATATGATTACACTGTGCAACAAAAAAAAGTAAATAAAGGAAAATCTATCTACCTTATGAAAGTAGAACTAAAATAGAAAACATGTGTATCGGAGTTTTGAAGGTTTACATCGCAAGGTAACACATAATCTCCACTTAAAATGTATAAATTTCCGATGTAGTTCTCTTATAAACCATTAAACATAGATATATAATTTATTCTTATTTATTATTTATTATTATAGCAAAAATTTTCTTCTCTTGAGACTTTTTGTCTAAAACGAAATGTTATGCTACCTTCAATCCAAAGAAGTCAAGAAAAAATTGATCATCAATTGAAATTGATTTTGCCGGCAGATGTATACCCCCAGCCTATGTTTATTAAAATACACTTTAGCACCTGTAGCAGATGTACAGAAGGAGATTGCTAATATTGTTCATTTCGCATCTGACCTAAGTCTGATACAAATATTGAGTTTGGACCTCACTTAACATGAGTTATGTAAAAATGCTGAACTGTTGTGGGGCATCTACCAAAAAGTGTGGCCCGGCATATCCTATATTCTATTTTGATAAAAAAAAATATTGAGATATTTGAAAAAATCGCTGATTTTTTTCGCATGTATAAGGGTTGTAAATATTCAGAAGAAGTGGTCCAATATATTCATTATGATAAAAAAGAGTTTGTAAAATATTGTTGACTTGTATTGCATGTTTTGAGAGTTACAATTATTCAAAATATTGACCCTTTGTGGGGGAGGTATCAGAAGAAGTGGACCGATATCTCCCATCTTCACAGCTGATCTTGTGTTAGTAGAAGTATTGAGATGTACCAAGTCTAAAAGTGATCCGATCACTTTAATTTCGTGCATTATGTGTTTCATGGGTATTCAACATATTAACCCTTTGTGGAAGAGGTAGCGGAAGGAGTGTCTCGTTATATCCGTTCATCATACTAGATCTTATTCTACCTACACAAGATCTAGTATCAGATGTGCGAAAATTGCAGACAATTTGACTTTTATTTCAGATTTTATAAACATTTTAATTTTCAAAATGTTGAACTGTTGTGGGGAAAAATTCTAAAATGGTAC